CATTCTGTCAATTTTATTCAAAGTATTTTATGTCATAATTTAAAAAAAAGCATAGTCATAGCTTGCCTATTTTGTTGTTATATGTTATATATTTGTATGTTATTTATAGTCTAACTTACAAACATATTTTAAATAAAAGGGGTTGTCACTTACCCTCGAGCTGATCCCTGAAATATGAAAGACAAGACATTCAGGAATCAATCAAACATGAACTCCCAGCTGTTAAAAGTGAGTGTTGTTATTGACAGTGTGGCATTCACTTACACTTCCTCAGTGTCAGACATGGTGACAACAGACTTCACACCTGAGGGAAAAGACAAAGAGCCCGATGAGCTGACAGGGTGGAAACAGAGAGGCTGTGTGGACATTAAAAGGTTAAGAGTTTGATCCCCACAGAGACATCCGTCCTGCTGCAGGAATACCAAACTCCTCCTGCTCCAGTTTACTCTTTTTTTATTTATTAAACTGGAGATAAAAAGATACAAAATACTGAAAAACCGCTAAAGGAAATGGGTTTGTTAAAGTAACAAAATCTGCCTCTCAGCACCTTTTAAAGCTCACTAAGTAACGTGTTATATCTCATTAGATTTTTCCATACAAAAAACTGAAAACAAAAGGCTGGTTTTATGGGGAGTTATTTGCTGTCTCTGCTGGTCGCCTGGCAACGCCAAGGTGACCAAGGCTCCAGAAACAAATAGTCAATAATCACAGCACGTATAAGGTGTTAATTAGTGAGCTTTAGTGGTGCTGGTGGTTGGATTTTTTAAACTGTTGCCAGAGCCAGGCTGCTTGTGTCTCCGTTTCCAGTCTCTGTGTAAAGCTAAGCTAAGCTAATTGCCCTTTTGGCTGTAGCTTCATATTTACTCAGGACTGCAAACTTTTCCGTTTAGTTTGGAGCCACATTTGGTGGGGGAATTTGATTAGTGAGCTACACCTTCTGTGACATTACAACTCACAATGTTAAGGTCAATAATGATGGTCAATGATGAATAAATATGGCTTTCCAACCTCCAGATACATTTTCAATCATTTCAGTTTGGTAACAGGCCTGTGTGTAATTTAGTTCACTCTTAATGTTCAATTTTATTCTATGACAGGATAATGGATGAGATTATTACCAGAATAAAAAGCTGTCAGTTGGTAGTAATATACTGAAGGCTTTCCTTTACACTGGTGATTCTTTTTTACATCCATCTGAAGACGGCAGGTATCTTTTCCGTCTGCAGTCTCTCACTGGAGTGATGTTGCACACTGTCTGCAGCAGCTAATTATGTCCAAGGTTTAAATAAAATAAATAAAAACTATACATTGTTATAGATTAAACTACCCAGCAGCAGCATAGAAAGTTGTTCAAATTAGCTCTCTGTTGACATTAAACTTAAGCACTATTTTGAATGCAGGACTTTCACTTGTAAAGCACTCTTTCTTTCATTGCAGTACTTTTACTGAAGTAAAAGCTCTGAGTACCTTTTCCATCACCGGGCTGTGGCCACTTAAGGTCACTGAGCTGCAGCATATTGAATCTGTCGTCACTGAAGCATTTTTACACTTGGCCCAAACACCTTGTCCAGAACTGTTTATTCAGCTGGTTTGGGGTGGGGGGTGGGGGGGTGTTATCTTCTTTGCAGATTTGTTTTCACATGAGAATCCAATCCAGTTCACAGAACACCACACATCATCGTCACTTGATGTTATGACTCATATTGAACACTTACCCTAATACGTAGCTCTAGTAGTTTTAGTCTTGCCCAGTGAGACATTTGTCAGTTTTTCTGCTTGAGGATCTCAGAAATCTCAAAAATTAATTCAACCTCTACCCTGGATAATCCACCGACATCACTGTTAATAGTTTACTTTGCTAGAAAGTAGTTGAGAAAAAAATTTGTTTACTTGTAATGTTACCCACGCTGTGTCCAAAATCACTCCCATGGTCAGTCATTCACTACTCCCTTTACTCCCTTTAAGTAAGAACTTAATAATCCCAAGGGAAGTTGTTGTGCAGCAGCTGGAGTACAAAGTAAGAAAAAGGGCAAATATAAAAGATAAACAACCAATAAGGTGCAAATTATTTTGTGGGTTGCACATAGATATATAAAACATAATGCAGTATAAGTAGTTCATTTAGTAGTAGTAAATTGAGGTTTTGGAGCCCAAGCACAACTGCAATTTTTGCATCTATAAAATACAATACATGTATTGTGGGATTAAAAGCAGAAAGTACTTTATATGTTCCATTGTGGAGAGTGAAAATGTCACATTCAGGATTCAGACACTCAAATAAAAGGTTAAGGGAAATACAAATATAAATAGAATGCATTATAAAGTTAATTGGGATGATTTTGGACACAGCCCAGTTTTTCTAAATGAAATTCCATTCACCTCCATTGTGCTGGAGTGAAATTGTGTTTCACAATTAGAGTTAGAATAGAGTTAGAAATGTGTGTGTGGGTTTTGGAGCCCAGCCCTTTAATATGGCAGCTAAATTACATTATTCCTAGTATCAAAGACCCCGAACAATAGATGTACATTAGCCCACAGACCCCTAATGTGTGAGGATTTTGTCTTCAAAAAGATAAAAGTCTCAGTCAATGATCAAACTGGGATCACTTTATATTACAATCACTCAAAACAACTAACCCTGTTACTTCCCTTGTTGTTCCAACTTACCAAAAATTTGGGCTTAAATATTATATTCCTCCTTTTGCTTGAGATCCCCTACTCCCCCACTCACTCAAGGACCCATGTTGGCCCACGGACACCAGTCCGAAAACCACTGCACTATTAAACCTTACGTATACTGTACAGAGCAAATGCATTTCACAGTCCACCAAAACCCACAGGATTTCAGTTGAACTTTGACTGCTTTCCTGGAATAAACAACAGCTTTCACAGTTCATACAATACTATGCCAAAAGTCCAGTTATATAGTTAGATGCTCTAAACAGCTCGCAAAATGTCCCTACAGGCCCCCTTCGAAGCTCAGCTGAACATCATTTAGTCCAAAGTGTGGCGAGGAACAGCCCTGTTGGAGCAAATGTAGGAGCATTTGTGCTCACTGTATATTCTATATATCATATTTTATATGTTATATTCTATATATATATAAATTGTCTTTGAATGACTCCTTCACACTTAGCAGTGGGCACAGCTGCAGAGGACTTGGAGGATTAGTTTTGGATCATATTTCTACCCATCAGCTGAGGAACAGTGTCCAAATAGCTGCTTTAATCCCTCGGCTCGGTCCAGCGGGAGGATCCTCTGCACTCAAACAGCCAATCAGCATCCCCCTCCAACAAATGAGCTCTTTGATCGACTTACAGCTGACAGCGGCCTCACCTCTGTGTGTCCAGCATTCACTCAGTACATACCGACACTTCAACACTCTGTATATTTAGTGGATAGTCACTTCATTTCTTAAGTATGAGAAGACTGAGTGCTGAGAAGTGTTTCTGTCTGAGTCTTTCTGAAACTAAAACTCAAACAGGTGAGACCGCAGAGGACAGTCACCTCCTGAGCCAATCGAGAGCAGATTTAGACTGAGACAAACTTATAGACCCATCACATCCGTCTGACCCAGACAGAAGAGGGAAACTATAGCTGGATGAAGGATGTGTATTTTGCTTCTGACAGCAAACGCATCATCGCTATCTCAAAACCTCATATCTCTAAAATGTCGGCCTGGTTGTCAGGTCGACCAACATGGCTATGTGGGTGTATCAGTTTAAAGTTCAACATAGTGACAAGAGGTTACAGGAGGAGAATCTTTCAGTTTCTGTATATGTATAGTGAAAATGTAGAAAAGAGATGGAGGTCCTTCTGAAGGAGACGCCAAAAAATGATGATGCTAAATCTGTAAATCTGTGAGCATGCGTGTGTCTCGTGCAAATATTCACACATGTTAATGTACAATGGGGGCCAGAATCTCATGTACAAAAATAGAGTATGCAGGAACAAAGACAAAATGTGTTTCAGGCTTTGGCGGCCAAAGAATCAGCATTTCTTTGCAACATGAAACTGCAGATCATGGCGGGGTCGACGTCACCTGCCTTTGTGAGCCCCTCTAAACTAGCAGCACTGTATCCCCAGGAATTACACATCCACTGCCAAACTTCAGTGCCAATGCAGCAAGTACGCTATTTCTAACCAGACTTAAAACTATTTAAAGACAATGCAAGTGTGTGCAGTTAAAAATGGTCAGAAACTAAAACAAAGAGATAAAAATATAATGAGTAAATTCCCTTTATAGTTGTAATTTACAGCTTTCCTTAAGTTTTGGAAAGTATGTGCCGAGAACTTGAACTTAAAGTGAAGGTGTCAACTTTTCTAATTTCACAGAAGTATTTATATGCATTCATCTATTTCCCTCCAGAGTTCTCTCTATGCCCTTAAAAGCTACATTTAAAAGTATATGAAACAATATATATATGTGAAATATAAGTTAAATTTTGATCAACCAGTGAAATCAATCTGGTCTCCGGAAACTGGAGCCCGACTGTTAACCACCCCTAACATAAACTACACATGTTTGACATGCAGCAGAACATGTCTACGTCTGTTCCAAACGTGCCCTCCTGAAGTTACAGCCCGCAGTGTTGGAGGACAGACAGTGATCTGTGTTTTCCCCCAGTTTTCCACCGCCAGAGGCTCTTTTCTCCTGATGCACACAAACGCAACAAAAACAAAATCTACAACCCACAGGTTTTGCTTTAAAAAGAGCAACAAATAGTCAGAAATATGTAGTTTAGTACTGAGAAGTGATTTCAAGGCCCTCTGTGGTCGTCTTACCTCAGAGAGGAAGAGAAGCTCCTTCGATCAAGAAGATGAACGTCTGTAAGAATCTGCCGGGTCTGCTCAGAGAATAAGTCCTTGTGTTATAGTGATACTTGAGCTCATCAGGCCCTTATTGGCTGCAGGATGAGAGTGAGGTGTGTGTGTAGTATGTATGTTTATGTGTGGAAAAGGTGGGGAGAGGAGGGTGTGTGTGTGGGGGGGGGGCAGTCATGACCCTGGAGAAGGAGATGGATGAAATACTGTGGGATGGAGAGAGGAGGCTCAGGTTTGGAAAGGAGCCAGCTGAGAATCTTTGTTGCTAAATTTACAGTGATAAGAAAGCTGAGGAGGGGGTTACACATCAGCCTGGCATCCAGACAATGGAGGGAAGTGTGTGTGTGTGTGTGTGTTGTGGTGTGTGTGGTGTGTGTGTGTGTGTGTCAGCCACTTCATCAACCAGTCAGTCAATCAGTCAGAGAGTCAGTACAGAGTAACAGAGTGACAGAATAATAATAGAACTGGACTAAAAACAGAATGCTCACTACAAAGCAGTCTGTTTTAATGTGAAACAGACAATAACGTATTTAACAAACAACTCTACAGATACCGTTTTTTTCAGAGAAACCCGTGCTAGCTTGTAGATTGTGGCTTCATAGACAACAAGCCTGATTATCTATTGAAAAAAACATTTGAACCTGGCCTGTCTGCGAGTGGTGTGGACCTTCAGGTTTCCTGGAGTTCATCCTACCTGATGGGTCTCAAATTTAGCAGTACCAGTTGGGTTAGAACAAGAATGTTCATAATTTGAGACTGTGGGCCTCCCCTCAGACAAAGCTTGGAAAATGCCCCCACCCCACCCCTTTAGTTTACTGGCTTAGTTTCGCTCAATTCCTGGATGCCTATGGGATCATGATTATGTTATTTGATCCCATAGACGATCAACAATTGAGCCAAGATAGCTTAATACTGTTGTTTGACATAACTTTAGACTAAACCGAATATATATATAAAAGCTACTTATTAGTTTCTGAATGTGGGAAAGTGGAAAAATCAAGGGTGACCCTATTGTGAGGTCACCCATTGGTTTGTTAAGTACCGTTTTGAAGCCTCGAGGTTTGCCGTTAGGATCTTCGTTGTTGTGACGGTTTGTCGGAGACAGCAGAGGTGACGTACCGCGAGCTGAGCAGCTCTCATTGGCTGCACAGTTTCCACTCGTCTGTAGCAGGAAACAATGGCGGCTTGCCTGGTCGCACACAATCTCATATTACAGCTACACAGTACACTGAAATATGTTTGTGAAATGATTTTAGGAGAGTAATAGTCAACGCAACAGAATTTTACTCTAAATGGGACCATCATTTACTAAATGAACATCATGCTGTACTGAAACTAGAGACTTGAGACCATTGGACATTTCTCCATGAGACTGCATGGTATCAGCATGTTATTGCAGCCAATGGTGCTGCTCCCTGCTGGCTAACACATAGAATACAGGTTTAAGAAGCTTCTCTGTCCATTATATATTCTGTAGATAGGAAAAACAGTAAAGTTCCCCCAAACTACTGTATCTCTGAACAACCTCTTTAACCAAATCACACACTTATAGCAAATTGTATGTGATCTCCTTTTGAGAACTAATGTAATATTTGTTCACCTATATTCACTGAGCTGACACCAAAAGTGCCCTCTTGATTACCCTTATGGTAGATAAATAATAAAGGTATATGATGCCAACGAGCAACATGATAAAGTGCACTCTAAGTGCACTCACTTCCAGTAGAGAAAACAAGATGCTTTATAGGATGACCTACCTCCTAGAAAATTGGTTGGCCTCTAGTTGCCTGCAAATGGTTAAATAGTAATAGTTCTCTGTGTGTTTTTATTACAGAACTGCAGTACTTTAAATCTGAACAGTTTAATCTTTGTTTGGAGCTGTATCACCATAAATGCTTCACAATTCTTCTGCGTGCAGCTTTTTCTTTCTACTGCCCCTTGGACAGCCTGAGTCTACTACTGGTAGTATGGTATCATGTAATACAGCATAACTGTTTTTCACATGTACAGGTATATGTGCTTATATTATCTTATCAGTTTTGGTCCCATGCAGAAATAATTCACCCCATGAGCATCGCTACAGGGAGGTTTTATTTCAGCCAAGGGTTTTACTAGACTGTGAAAGGTAACAATGGTGTGAGGTTGTATCTATATTAGCAAATACAATCCATGACTAAGTCATCTCTGTGGAGGTGGGTGTGGTTTACACGCTTGTGAGAGCAGTGCCAGGTGAGTTAATTATTTCAGCTGGTACTCATTGAATAATCACACTCACCTCTCTGAATGCAGTAGTGTGCTGGACCTAAGTTGGCTGCCACAGACAAATGAGAGCGGATGTCTGGAGTTGTTGTGTGTTGACTGCAATTGCAGCTGAGAGTGAATAAAAGTTGTGTTGACCAATGGACCTGTGGTGCTGGATTGTGTGCTGAGGGAAACCACGGTAGTAGTAGTAGTAGAGAGACTTGCTACAGTCACTATGTGAAAATAGCAGGGTATATCAACACTAAAATGACATTGTACTGAACTGTGTCTGTTTGATCAGTTAATGAGAAACACAGGATTGTGCTTTAATGAGGATAATCATTCTTGGTAGCAGGCAGGCAACTGCAGTCATCAAACTACAGTCCTGGTAGTTAACTATTGCATTGAAAATAGGAATACTAAATATAAAATGTGGTATATCAAACTTACATTGACACTTTTATTGAACCTATATAATTATTTTAGGAATTATGCATGATATTTAAAAAAAAAAAAGTAAAACAAAAGTCAAGTACCTCCTTCAGTACCCCTAGGAGAACATGTACCCACATTTGAGAAACACTAGACTAGCTGACAGCCCACTCGTATTTGCAAACCTGAGCAGGAATACTGGAACTTTTGTGACACCGGAAGACATCTTTACAGGATACTCAAACATGTAGTTACTGGTGGATTACAGAGCAGGAGCCCAAAGGAAGAGATAGAATAGGACACACAGGATTAAACCACACTCCATATCATAGGCAAGCCTAGTGGGCTAAGCACTTATTGTAATAAACTATAAACTGTCAAACATTTTTTTATAGACTGCAGCAAATATGATCAAGAAAGGAGGGAATTGTATTATATCATTATTGTATTGTATTGTATTATATTGGAAGCACAGAGAGGGACAGAGAAAGACCCAACAGACTTGTTAAGAGGGCTAGATCTGTCCTGGACTGCCCTCTTGACTCCATAGAGGAGGTGGGTGAGAAGAGGGTGTTAGCCAAGCTGACGTCAATCATGCACAGCCCCTCTCACGCCCTGCATGAGACTGTGGGGTCCCTGATCAGCTCCTTCAGCAACAGACTATGCCAAAAAAAAAACTTCTTTTCTTTTTTCATTATATCTACATCTTTCTCTTGTGTTTCCCCAGTATGGGAACAATAAAGTCTGTTTTATCTTATTATACAATATTACATTGGAGAATCTACTAAAGAAAGTATATCATTTTTTAATTAATTATTTAACAATAAGAGGAATAATAGAGAGACTTTAGTTATTTAGTTATTTTCTTTATTTTTAGTTTTTCTTAGATTACTACTAATCTACTGCTCCACACCCGGTAGGTGGTGGTGATGCACATTTAAAGCTGGTTTGCCAACTGCTGAAGACAGCAAGAAGACAGTCCACTCTACTGAAAACTAGATAACAACACAACTCAACAAGACAACTCTGGTAACATGTAGGTGTGGAAGGAATGAGCAAAGCATTACAATGTCTCTGTTGTTGGCTGCAAGAACCAACACAAACATTTCTGGAAAGAAATTGGTTTTCACAAGTCAGAGACATAGACAAAGACATAATGGGAACTGCAGTGTTGTTGACTGTCAGTACACCAGCAGAGTCAGGTCAGGTTACAAAGGCCATGCTGTCCATCTGAATGAATATGATTGGCTGTCACCAGGTAGCTGGTAGCCATGTAGTAGTAGCAGTGATGAATAAGCCATTGATGGTGGAACATGAATGGAGCAGCCAGTGATGCAAGCCAGACTTCAGTGCCACTAAGACCAAACCAGAGCTAAAAGAAGAGTGAATATTGCACTTAAATTCATCAGGCGGCCAGAAACACAACCCCTTATGAATGCTAATGTTGCTAATTGTTTGCTAATATGCTATATCCTGTGACAACTTTGGAAGCTGGTGGCAGGGTGGTGGTTGTTTCTCCTTCAACTCATGTTAGCTAGAGGCTAAACGATACTGAATCATTTCTTTGATTAATATTCAAACAATTTATTATTATATTTCATTGAAAATAAACAGTTTATTAAGCAAGAACCTATTTTAATTAGTAGTACTAGGGAAGCTTTCCTGTCGCTGCACACACACCCTGCAGCTGCAGCCTGGATTTTATTCATGGAAAAAATGCTGTATTAAGTTATTGCTCCCAAAAACCAAAGGTTGCCTACTGCTGCAGCTTCATATTAAATTTAACTGGCAAAACAAAAGTTGACTTTGGTCTCTAATTGTGAAATAATTCTGATTTCAATATTGATCAAAATATTCGTGATTATCTTTTTGGCCATAACTTTCCGATTTTGTTGCTAATTTATGGTCATTCTTTAGCTGAGACATCACTGTCGACTTCACCGACAACTAGCTACCCTGTCAACAGTTTAGGGCAGTGGTTCCCAACCTGGGGGTCACAAGCCTTCTTGATTTTAAGGGGTGCAAGAAGACTTAATAATTAGGGACCGAGCACTGACAGTGCAAGGCCTATTGTAATGCAGGATTATTTTTATTTTCTCCGTCATTGATCGCATATTTGGCGGTCGCAGCATGCTCAAAAGTCAGGGAAATTTGCACAAAATTCACAACGTTCGAGAACTCGACGTATGAAATTGTCCCCGTGCACGGGCGCCGCCAAATGGCTAAGCCCGCCCCCCCAATCAGCCCCCAAGACGCGTAAGGCCGACATGTACAAAAATTGGTACGCATGTGTATCGTGATAAAAAAAAGCAGAAAAGCCTCTTGGACCCATACCTCAAACTAAACAGGAAGTCGGCCATTTTGGATTTAGCGGCCATTTTTGGCGATTTGCAACCGTTGTATTTGAACGAACTCCTCCTAGGGAATTTATCGGATCGACTTCAGATTTGGACACACCCATCTAAAGGCATTCACGATTAAAAGTTGCGCTATTTATGACATTCCGTCGAACAGCGTGGACGTGGCGTGGCGTCCCGTGGCGTCCAATTTCGATCCTTCGCCATAAAAAGAGGGATTTGTCATAACTTCTGCATACATGATCCGATCTCAACGAAACTTCATGTTTGATAAGAGTCCCGCCCTGAACATGTCTATGTGATAATATTCAGTAATAGTGAGAGCGCCACCTAGTGGTGAAAGGAACCAAGGATGCCAAGAAATGTCACAGAAAGAAATTGGCTTAGACTCTTTTTCACAGACTAATCTCACTGACATGCTCCTCCATATTTATAGAATTTTATCTGTTCAGAAACTGAATAGGAACAGACTCCTGTCTGAGTGCACCCTCATGCATGTTATCATCTTACTTAATGTTGTGTGTTAACTTCTCTTGTAATATTGTGGAACTGATGCATTGGTCTGAAGCTGATTTGTTTAGATTAGTTTTGATACACACCTGAGTTAACACTTGATTATCACTTCTCCCTCTGAAGGATTTCCCAAACCAGTTCTACAGGCAGCCTGGCAGCCTGCATGATATCCTGAGGTGAGATCAGATTTCAGCCTGCATTTCCTTTCATACTTTCACACATGAAACCAGAGAAAATTGCAATGATGACACACAACTTTGATGCCAGTCTGTAAAAATAAAGAACCAGTGACCAGTACCAGCACTACTTGTTTTAGTGTTTCAACCTTTGGGTAAAAGAGAATGATAGATAGTCTTGAAACTCTACTTTCTGTTGTTGAGCATTGTTTCCACCTTAGCATCAGGAATTAAGGGTCTGATGAAAGCCTTTCTACAGGACAGACTGATCCTATTATGTTGGGTGTTTGACTGTATTCTTTACTCTACTGTATGTATTCTTTAATGAATGAGTCTAATCTGTGCCGCCTGTGTATTTCCCTGCTCTTTGTGAGACTATGTCCTCCTGTGTGTCTTCCAGGCGCTTTGTGAAGACCAGTCGATGTCCTCTGGTGTTCATAGTGTCAGACAGTCTGAGTGGAGACAGCAGCTCACGCGTTCTTTTCCCCAGAGAGATTCAGGAGGAGCTGGACATCAGCAACATCAGGTTTCAAGTGATGTACACTGCTGACTATGACAGAAGTGTTTTTACTAAATAAAAAGTAAATCCACATCAGACCCCCTTTTAGATACAGTTCAGTCCCCACTGTGGACTGATGAGGGAAGACTGTTCTGGTACATTCAAGTTACGTAAGTATGTGTGCTGCGCTTTTAATTGAGTTGCAGTTGCAGTCTGCTAATATTCATATTAAATTACTAAAACAGCAGCTCAATATGCACTCAGTTCCTGGACTGAACCTGGTATACTGCCCAAACACACATAGCAAGTGAAGAAGAGCTCATAAGCAAAGTTCAGAGGTGGAATTATTATGTCCTAAACTCAGAAAAGAAATATTAACGTTAATTCCAAAATATTTACTATGGCTGCAATTTAAAGGTCCAGTGTGTAGGATTTAGTGGCATCTAATGGTGTAGTTATCGATTGCAACTCTGGTGCTTTACCCTCCTCACAAAAGAAAAACTATGGTGGGCACGAAACGCCCCTATCTACAACCAGAGTTTGGTTTGTCCTTTCTGGGCTTATGTAGAAACATGGCAGTTCAACATGGTGGACTCCATGGAAGGTGACCAGTGGCATCTGTAGATGCAAACGGCTTATTCTAAGGTAAAACACAACAATTCTTATTTTCAGCTAATTATACTAATACTAAAACATACCTATGACTATTATATTCCATTTCAACAGATCCTCCTAAATATAGTGTATAACATTGTTCCCATCTTTACTTTTTCCAACTTTGTTTTTATCTACCTTGTTTTACCAGTATTTTATGTAAGCTGCGCCCTCTCCAAAAATTGCTTGTAGAGAAAATGTTTGGTTTTTTTGCCGTGAAAGTCGCGTTGTTTACACCAGGGATCCGCTGATCGCGCTGAAGCCAGCCGGCGTGGAGACTAGATCATTGGATATCCCTACAGAAATCTGGAGACGGACACACAGGGAATGCAGAGGAGGAACGAAACGGCGAGGGAAGAGAGAAGGGTCCAGACAACGGAGACTGAAGAAGAGGACATTTCAACTGTGTCTCCCCTCTCTCATGTTGGGCAAGGTGTCATAGGGAAATAAAATGGACGAGCTAACAGCGTTAGCACGGAGAGAGTTCCGGAAGTGTAGTTTAATATGCTTCACTGAGACACCAGAATATAACGTTACCTGACCACAACGTGTCCATCGACGGCTCTTACTCCGGCCCTATTATTCACATGCTATTGTGGTGGCTGCTTACATTCCTCCCTCTGCCAACCCGACTTTGGCGTGCAACGTAATTCACAACGCCATAGCTCGACTTCAGACCCAACAGCCGAGTGATTTCATAGTAATCTAAGGTGACTTCAACCACGTCACTATGGCAACAACATTTACCCCGGGCACATTGACATCAAAGTATTTCTGACTCAGATTTTGATCCTGAAATGTTACACACTGGAACTTTAACTTTAACTCCACCTAAGAAAAAACATTTCCAAATATTATTCATAGGTTTCTGATGTATCTTTATTGATGTATCTTTATTGATACATTAAGAAGCATTGAATATGTGAAGGAGAATCGAAAAGGAATAATATGTAAATTAGAGTAAATGATAAGACAAATCCAAATACACAGGACATTACAACTGGTAATGTTTATGCTGAGGTAATACAGCCACACACTTTATATACTTTAATAATTTAACAAAAGAAAGAAAAGTTTAAACGCAAGTTTGATGAACACAAATCAAACTCTTTTTCAACTATGTGTTTGTGTTTCCAATAATCGGCTTGTAGTTGTAGAAAAGCCAATTCATGTATATCCCATCTGGCAGATATTTTTCTCCCACAAAACTGACAGTCGCAAATTATGTGACCTTATTCAGCACTAGTCAATCCAGTGGAATATATAATAGTCTCTATTAACATGTGTCATCCTATTATTTGCACGATCCTGCCTGCGGTGAAGAGTGAGGCACACCTTTCAAACACTCGCACAAAATACAGCTGTGACGTCTTGATAAATACAGCTCATGGTTCGTGTTGATGTGATTTGTGTAACTGAATACCGGCCCATTTGAGAATTCTCTGTAATCAAATGCAGGTTGATAAGATATTGAATAAAACTGTTCTTCTAGTGATCACCGTGAAGCCTCCAAATTGTTACATTTGGGAGAGGGGCACTGAATTACCCTGAACATTGTTTTGTGTATTCTCTATTTCCAGTTTTAATCCGGTGGCTCCAACCACAATGATGAAGGTCCTGACTCGAATTTCAACTCTGGAGGCAGGAAAGGTAAAAGGAAGCATTTCAGATGGACAAAAGTATGAACAGTGACTTTTTTTGCGTTTCACATGTAATTCTGGCCTTATTTTGTGTTTCAGGTGCAATTCTGGCAACAAAGCAGGAATGTGGTGTTTTTCCACCTAAGTGTCAAAAATGAGCTCCTCTGGCTCTGAAAACAAGCTTTTTCATTTAAGCTGCCATTCTCTTCCAGAACGACTTATCCATCAGTTTCCACCTCAGGAAGCTTCACAGTGGCATAAACTTGATGGATAAATCAGAATCACAATCAGAATCGGGGTTTATTGCCAAGTAAGTTTTTACACGTACAAGGATTTTGTCTTGGTTCATTGGTGCATATAAATCACACTAAAATAAAGTACTTTTTAAAAAATAAACAGATAAAATAAGGATAAAGTCAGAAAGATTCAAACTGTACAGGAAAGACATTTAGAATGTGCAGGATAGAAAAACCAACGGGAGTGTTTTAATGTACAGGGTGGGTTTAAGAGTCAGTGTCAGTGGGGGTCCGGGCCTTATGAATGAGATCAGTTGCATACGGAAAGAAACAGCAGGGAAGTGTTTCAAAGAGTTTGT